TGTAAAAATATGCCAAATGGTCCCCCTGGTGGCATGGAAGAGTCATCCCAAATAAAGCTGGAAGCACTCTTTTACGCTAGGTCGATTTAAGCAAAAAGACTATTATGTGACTTCAATTCCATATAGCTGCTAAGACAAGCTAGTTCCTCAGCACTCTTCCCCCATTTTCTAGAATGAGCAGGAAAAACATATCAAACAATCTGTTAATGAGCATTTGGCGAAGTGTAATGAATACAGTCTAACTCACTAATTGAAGCTCATTCCGCAACTCTCCACTAATAAGCATCTTAATGTGCTTAACTGCAAGTGTCCAAAATAGTTATTGAGATGTGTGGAAATTTCTCATTCTGTATGTGAAAATTTTGACAATGTTGCAGTTTGATTAATTGAGAGAAAATGTTACATTAACAATGAAGAAAATGTAAAAGCATGAAAATAACACAATTACGTGTAAAACAAATTAATTGACGGCTCACATATTTTTGGAAGAACTTTTATTGCAGTGTGACACCAATTTTAGTTTCCTACTGAAGCCAAATGAACCTGATCTTGGAAATTTTCCAGATTAAGGATTAACACATAGACCAGTCAATATTTTATCGGTTACAGATAAAAGAGTTTTCTTTTTTAGTTTCATAAAAATTTACTTCACATATCATGTTAAGTTATCAAAGTCATAACAGGCTCAGATTACTCATGTTAAAACTCTTTTGTCCACTCCTCCCTTTCTGTCTCATCTTTCTCACAGGCTTTATTTTCACAGGACAATTTGTGAAAACGGCTCTCCTCCACTACTCCCTAGGGAGCTGCTGTTCCATCCATCCATCTTTGGCTTGAAAAGAGGGGTAGCATTTCTTAGAAAGTCTTTCTCTAAGTTTTTACATGGTATTTTGTAAAGGGATCGGTAGAAAGTTACTTTGAAAGTGTGAGTGTTTTCCAGACTTTGTCAGTTCCTTGCGTCTGTGACCTTCCTTCTGTACTCTTCCCTGACAACAGGTGCACATTTGTAAACAGAAAAGACCTGCTGCTAATGTAATTACACAAAAGAAACATACATCATTTTCCACATCTGTAACCAATAAAACACATTCACACATATATACTCAATGTCCAGAGCAAGCAACTGACCTCTGTGTAAGAAAGTATGAGGAGCCAAGACTCATGTTGCCGATCAGCTAACACCACTGTCTCTGATCATAGCTCTATGAGGGTGTGAGCCTCAGTGTTCTGAATCTTGATTTCCCTAGTGCTGACATTAAGGCTGAAAAACCAAGTGTGTAGGATCACTAGTGTTTGGTGAGTTTATGGTTAGGTACTTCCTGTAGGTATATTTATAATTAAAGCCACAGGGATAAACCTTGAAGGGTTTTCTGTTTTTAAAAAATGTCATGGCATTTCTGAGAGTGGAAAAAATTGAGACAACAAGAGGAGCAGCCCCCACCAGAGTTGAGAGCAGTCACTGTCAACACCCTAAGACACCTTAATTCTTAACACGGGTCTGGCATTGCGATTGTCCTATTTTTATTTCTATTTATTAAATGAGTAAACAATAACTCTAAATTTTTAATAAACTCATCTGAAGCACTTAATGAAAGAAAAGGGTTTCAGTCACAGGTGGTTTATTTCTGGAGACTATATTCCCAACCAGAGGCTGTTTTATAGAAGAGCTTTTCCGCATATAGTTCCAGAGAAGCACAGTCAGCTTCCTCCAGAAATTTGTTACAAATGCAGATTCTCAGATGCCCCTGCTGAGTCAGAGGTCGCTTCCAGGAATCTGATATTTTAATGTATTTTCAAGCCAGAAAACCACTGCTCTGACATCCTGACTTCTTGACTCTTTCCCAGGATTCCTTAACCTTAAGATTAGGTATTAAAGCCCTCAGATGTCTAGACATGGGACCAAACACTGTAGGGAATGTCTTTCCATTCTTAGAGAATGCTTGGTGTGGCTCCTTGGGTAAATCTCATTTTACCAATAAAAAATGATGATCGCTAACTTATATAATAACCCCTATCAATCACATTAACAACCTCAGCAAAAGGTTATCTTGGTAGTTTATCAGTATCAGCTACTTCTCACTGTGACTCAGACATTTAGAGACACAGTTGCAAATGTGTGATTGCAGCATTTGGAGGGAAGTGATAAACAGAGAGGCACAGTGATTCTCTGAACTGAGGATGAGGACATGCAGATATTTGTCACTGAAGGTGACTTTTTACAACATAACAAGGATTTCTGAAATGTCCTCTGATGTCCAGAAACAATAGAGTACTTATGGGTTCTAGGAATCTAATTTATTCAACAAATAGAAAATTAACAAGATGTACACCTCAGCAATTTAAGTAATTTCAAGTACGTTTGTAAGTGCGCTTGTGATTGTGTAAGTGGCAGTGTAAGGTGAGAGTACTGCAGAGGTAGAACACAGTCCCAAGGTCTCAAGGGTGGTCTTGTCAACACATCATGGTGAGACTGCAGGGTGTGACATCACATACCTATAATCTCAGGGAGTCTGAAGTTTAAAGATCACAAATTTGAGCCTATGTTAGGCAATTTTGCAACTTAGCAATATCTTGTGGGTTTGTTTATTTGTTTGTTTTTGGTACCAGGGATTAAACTCACCACCTTGCTCTTGCCAGGCAGGTGCTTATGCCACTGACCTAAGTCCCCAGCCCAGTATCTTGTTATAAAATTTAAAAAAATACAAAACTAAGTGCTTAGTATGGAGCTCAGTGATAAGGTCTTGAATTCCATCTCTAGAACAATGCACAGCATAAATTAATTTAATTAATCAATTTCAAAATTTTTATAAAATAGGAAAAAATGATGAGAGGCTATGCTAGAATCTGAACTTGAGATTTTTATATAATCTTGTGTGATCAAGAGTAAATTATCAGATCTTCAATTGCTGTTTATTCATCTAGAAAATTAGACTGGTGATATCTACATCAGTAAGGTGTGATGATTATATAAAATATCTGTAAAACACTGGCTTCAAATTTGCTTTCTTTTCTTACCTATGTTCATTTCCTGCTATAATCACAAATTAAATCCATTTATAATTTTATGATTAAGATTTATAGCTTTGAATATGTATTAAATAAAAAACTTAAGAGATTTCACATGTATGAAATCGTGATACTACAGGGAAATGAATTATTTTCCCTTGACATTTTGTTATGGATATAAAATGAATCATCTATAAATAACCTGTTGTTAATATTGAGGATAGAAGACATTTCTTAATAGCGAGAATAAACGTTGTCACATTTTAAATGGGGTTCCTAAGTAAGTTAAGTTTGGAGCTAGTACCCTGAAATATGATGTTGATACTAGTCTGGAGAAACGGAAGCATAAGAACCACCACTCCCTTGCCAGTGGAGCTCAGAAACTTAGAGGGGAGATAAGGGAAACACATTTGGGTTAAGGAGTATTATTATTATTATTATTATTATTATTGGTATGCTCTTGCTTGGGTAGAAGTTCATACTATTTATGCCAATTAGGAAAAATGTTCTCTAAAATTTTCAAATGTGTGAGTTATAAGCCCTGGGAGACCATTTGAGGATTGATGATTGACAACTTATTTACTGGAGGCCTTAACAGCATTCTTAGATTGGACTCACCTATGCGTGTTTGATTTAGAACTAGTAAGGTTCAAGTTTATTCCCCAGATCTCAAATAAAACTTTTAGTTTCTGTTCATTTCTTAAAATCTGAGCTGGTTTTATCATTAGTAAAGGGGATTTCTATAGCAGAGCTAAACAGTTTGGCAACATATTCTGTTGTCTGCCATGTAGATGGTGATACTATTTTCCCCTACTGGTTTTGCAGCAGCCTTCTGTCACTGACCTGACTCCTTTCTGCAGCCCTTTCCTGTCCCTTGGCAGCTCTTCTCAGGTCTTTGAACAGCCAATCTCCTGTTATGGGGATCCTACAGGAGTAAACTCAGAAGGTCTGCTGGGAGCAGTCTGTGCCCTGGCTCCCCTATGCTGCAGGGTGGACCCTAACCAAGCCTTTTTTCGGTGGAATATTTGTGCCAACTCATGATTTCTCTCTTGAGCAAAGACTGTTCAGCTGCTACACTAAGAGCCAGTGAATCCAAAGGCCGCTGGTACTGTCACCAGCCAGCAGCCAGAGCCCAGAAAACCAAAGGTTGCTGGCTGAAAGCGGTCAGCAGCCATGTCTGGCAACACTGAAGGCAGCTAGCAGCAAAGGAAGAAGTGCAAAGGGAAACTGTTGGGAACTACCTTCCCTCTTGGCCAGCAGCTTTCCCAAGGCCTGCTGGTAGCTGCTGGCTCTGAGGTGCCAAGAACGTGGATAACCCGAAGAGCTGACTGCATTGCCGTTCAGAGTTCACCCTGGGCCGGAAGGTAACTCTGTGTTCCATGGCTTGTTAGTGTCTGTTTTTCACTGATGCCCTCAGGGTATGGCCAGCCATAGGCTTCTGCCTCCCTTCCCAGATCGATCCATCTCCATTAATTTGGCAGAGGAAGATGCAGCACAATTGGCCCCAAACCCAGGTCTCTGGAAATGGCCTGCAGCATTGTCACTGGCAGACAGAGAACATCTACTCATAGCAACTACGAAACTACCCTGGCAGTAACAACCAAATCAACAACAGTAATAATATCAAAGACAAACCGGATATTGACATACCATAAGAACCGTTAATGTACCACCTTTAGCCTTAGAAAAGAATGTCTTAATTATAGTATAAGCACTAAAATAAACCAAATATTGACATGGAGTAAATAGCTACTAAGTGCATCATTTACAACTCCACAAATAATAGAAAATTATTCAACAGTAATAACACAGAGTTAACTATCTAAAGGTTAGTAAAGCTAAATAACCATTCTAGCACAAATGAAACAATGAAAGAAGACTAATTTGAAAAATTAAGAAATGGAAAATGAACAAGGCAAAAAAAATGAAAGTCAGAAAAGTTATTTCTAAAACTTTTTAAATATTTATTTTTCTTTTTAACACATTATCTCTGATTAGACATCTTTTATTAAGTTTTAGAGTCTTATATTATCCTGGGCAAGTATTAGCAAACAATAGTGTATTGGTAGAGTGAACTATTGGGTGGCTTAGAAGACGTATTATTAGTTCAACAGTACTTCTCCCTCCTGCCACAGTGAAGAGAAGAACCTTTAATACGTGACACCCTTTGGAAGTGGCCTAGAATAGCTTCCAACTTTGTAATTCTCCTCCTGTCTTTTCTTCATGTGTCCCTCATATGTGCTGCCTAGTTCCATGTTCACTATCTATTAAAAAACTGTGTCTTCCCAGTACCCTGTTTCTGTTTCATTTGTTTGCTGGTTACTTTCACTGAAATTCACAATATCAAGTTGTATGATCACTGGGTCCTGACACTTGAGTCCAGTGTTGCCCTAATTCACATGGAATCTTTTTTCTGTGAGTAAGTTTAATCAATGTCTACAGTGATGGACATGTGCTACCTCCTATTTGTATACTGGTTTACTTCACTTTGATTTTGGAAGCAGAATCTGCTAGTTTTCTGTACTTATTTCCCTACTTCCTATAATTTAAAGAACATAGAATTCGCCTGTCTTGTAATTTCATAGAATATATGGGTGATGGGTTATTTTGCTTACTCTCTTTGCTGACAGTGTTTTTGGAGATTTTGAGATTGCAAACTCTCTTATCCTAAAATTTTCAATTAGTCTTTTTTCCATTTAATTTTCAGCAAAGATAGCTAGTGATGTAGTCATATATATATATATATATATATATAGTGTGTGTGTGTGTGTGTGTGTGTGCTCATTTGAGTATCAGTACATAATCATAATATACTATATTTGGATTTAGCACTTGTGTATATCTAAGGGACTGAGCCCATCTTACTAATGGCATAAAATTGACTGTTGTCTAAAATCTTTAATGAACCGATAATCTATAAGTTTGTCTTGTACAGATTTACGCATTTACACATAAGGGCTTACATTTATGCATCTCTAATGTTCTGGAACATTGTTTAGGCTGGAGATGTAGCTCAACAGCATAGTGCCTGCCTGGAAAGTGCATGACCCTGAGTTCAATTCCCAGTACCAAAAAAGAACATTGTTTAAGCATGTAATTAAAAGAAGCAAAATCAAAAGGTACTATTTCTAAGACAGTTTTTGGTTGATGAGGGAGTTTCCTAAATACCCAACAGAACTCTGCCTAAGTCCTTAAGTATCAAATTCTCTTCTATTCAAATTTATTACTGAATCAATAAACAGATACATTTTTTGATCATTTTAGAAAAAATAACAATGATTTAGATTTTCAATGTCGTTATTGATTATTCTTCCACCTATGACCATTAAAAACTTCTTTTCAGCTCTCTGCCCTCCGTAACAGCTTCCTGAAAAAGACAAACAAAACCAAAAAACAAAATTTACTGACTTAACTCCTCTACATTTCCAGCCATTTTCCAGAGCCAGCTGAAAACCCCTAAGAGTTCCAGGACACTTGCCCTGGCTAAGGAAATTACTTCCTGGTTACCTTATAAAAATATTAGCATTGTAGATGCTAGGTTACTCATCACAGTACCTATTTGATTGAAAACTGCCCAATAAATCCTCTAAATTTCATATATGGTAATTTCATTTCCCTCCCAAAAATAGATGGGCTCATGCCCTTATTTTGAACTATTTGCTTCAGTGTTGCTGAAATTTTATTTTTGTTTGTTTGTTTTGAAGCATCCTTCTCATTTCCTGTTTTATAACATGATTCTTTTCTTTATAGTACTTTCAGATTATATTTCACATACTGTTCTACTGGATAAGAGCTTTGGCTCCTCCTCCTCCATTATGACATGAATTTCTCTCTGACCAATTTGTCTTAATATATTTTTCGTACAATTTATGTATAATTAGATCTGGACCAATGCATATGTGCCACTCTGAGATTGACTTGCATTGAGAACTCTGTGTGACACTGGAAAACATCACTGATGTCTTCAAAATTCATCAAATATTTAGTGACTACCTGCCATACAACGGCAGTGTATCATTAGTGGAGTTATAGTAGTAAACTAGAAGGATATGTATCGTTTCTCCCCATACAGAGATATCAGTTTCATAAGATGAAAGAGCTTGTCAGCATGAATTCTTCATCAAAATGAGCATGGTATGGAAAGAAATAGAGTGCATTAGGGGAAGCTAAGATATGCACAGTGAAGGGCTCTTCACTCACAATCTCATTTGAAATCAAAGGATGTCTGAGCCACACTAGTGTCAGTAATAGACATTTAGGTATCATGCCACCGTAATAGTGCCTTACCCAAATCCCTCATCAGAATATATTCATGAACATAGCAAAACTGTTGTCACATGAGGTATTAATTTTGCAATGCTTTTTAAGATAGCAAGAGTTGACTATAATAACAATTGTTGTCTGGAAACGATAGGTCACAATAATAAAAATTTTAAGCATATGACATTGGTGGGTGAAAACAAACATTCCCTAAGAAGACTGCTGAGGAAGGACTAAAGAACAATGAGGAAATATTATCTGATACTGGAGAAAGAGATTATTGTCATGTAGTAGAAGCTTTGACAATACTTTTGCATAAAGAAATTTAGAAAACAGAGGGCCTAATTGACTTATGCAAAAGAAATTGCAGATAACTGGGAGATGTCTAGGCAACAGGTAAAAACATGGCAATTATTTACTGTGTTAAAAGATATGACAAAATTGAATTAACAAAAAAACTATTATATTTTGAGGCTAATTTAGTGGAATTAGTAATGAGTAAAAAATCATTTCATTCTAAAATAAACCTGTTTCTTACCTCCAATCTCTAGCAAAATATTCACTAAATGAAAAGTAGCTTCCGTGCAAAAATGAGAGCCTGTGGGGGCTGTAATCTCATTTGTTAAGACTTCAGGTAAGGCCCTGTATCCCAGAAGCTTCAAGCTAGTTGAAAAGCCTTGTAAGTAAATATTTTAAGGAAAAAACTCAGAGACTCACACGACAAAACAGAGTTTCTAAAAATCTTGATGTCTTTGTCCGTTGTAGTTTCACATGGGACCAACATAGAGAAAATCGTGACTCAAAGAAACGGATAAGCTTACCTGTTATCTAAGAGAGTAAACAACAATAACAGTCAAAAGCTCACAAAATCTATGAGTACAAATTAAGGGAAGTACTGCTATTTTAGACTAAAATAGAAATAGTGGTAGGTGTGGTGGAGCATGCCTGGAATCCCAGCTCTCAAGAAGCTGAGGTAGGAGGATCCTTGCAAGTTGGAGACCACCTGGGGCTACAAAGTGAACCTGAGGCCAGCCTGAACTGCATAACAAAACCTTGTCTCAAAAAGACTAAGTAAATTAGAAATAGTGAATTTTAAACAAACTTTTGACCTCCAAAATTTCTGAGGCCTGAAAGCAAACTAAAAATGTAAATTCAGGTATTTTTTTTAGGTAAATGAATCAGGAGCACACAAGAGAGGAAAGAAGCATGGAAAAGTGTTTTCACTGCATCACCTTTCTGTGTTGGCCACATACAAAATATAAAACTAATTTCTTTCATTCACAGATCTCCAGAGCAGGAAGAATCATCCTGAGAGGTCACTTGTGAAGAGGTTCTTACACACCTGACCTTGATTCTCATTAGAGGATCCTGGACTCAGGCCAGTACTATAATGAGATGAAATCTGGGGAGTTTGGGAGGGTATAATTATACTTTGCATTAGAGGTCATTTATCATCGAACTATGGTCTATGCTGATGAAAGTTGGCTCTGAATTTCTTGAAGGGATAAGTACAATTCCTTTGTTTTAAATTGGGATTGATCTTATTGTTAATGTAACCAATAGAATGTAATGGAAACGATATTTGGAAAATCACTCTTGGGGATATTGGGGACTAGGTGAGAAATCTAAGCACCTAGAGACCTACAGTGCATGGAGAAGGACAGACAAATGGTATATGGGAACAGGCCGCCAAAGCAGAATGTGCCAATCAACCGAAAAAAGATGTGGGGAAATCCAGAATTGCATAAAATGCACTTTAGAAGGGGTTTACAGACAGAAGCATATTTTGGGTTGTTAGAAGACCGGAGAATTTCCACAACCCAAAACAGGAGAAAGGGGTTTATATGCTAATGTAGACATTCAATTTGTCCTATTGTGGAATATATTTGGGCTTTCTCAAAAATCACTAGCATCTTGAATACTACTAAAGAGATAGGCAGTCCTCAGTGCACAACACAAACAATTCCATTATATTAATGACATTGTTTATCCTATCAAGTTCAGAATTTGTGCCAGGATCACCTATTGCAAGAATGGTAATTACAAATTAGATGCTTGCTCTCATGTCTTTGTAAAGAGAGAGTTATAATGAGACACAGAGAAAGACAGAGAGGGAGAGAGAAAAGGGGAGACAGGAAAGATGAGAGAAGTAGATTATCTCTTTGTGTATGTTGGATTATGTTTGAACAAACCCCATTAGTAACTTCAAACTCAGAAAAAAAAAAATGTTAGAAAGAAAAATGTAAAGAAAGTAATCCAAATGAGAGGCAGAATTGACAACCCAAATACATGGGCTCATCTAATGGAAAGGCCATCTCCAGAAAGCTAAGTCAGCCTATGTTGTAAATAAGATTTACAAGGAAAAAGATTTAATACAGGACAAAGAATTTATAGGATTATTTTATAATGTTCACCCAAACAGTCAAATGCATAATGTGCAAGAGATCTGCCCACATACTAGAGATCCAAAGAATCCAGCTGAAGGCCTGGATCTCACAGCAGTGTCCTGCACAAGTCCAGCTGAAGACCTACAGCAAATGCAGTGTCCTTCATCAGTCCATCTAGAGGCCTAGAGCCCACAGTGTCTCAGGCAAGCCTGTATGGAGTATCTGCCCTGGGAAGGTCCAACGGTCAGCAGTGAAAGTCAGAAAGCCTACTCCAAACTGATGAGGGATCCACTCCAGCAGGCTGAGGGATCTTCACAGGAGCCAGGATGTGATGCTCAAGGTAAGGACCAGAGCTCTCCCGCAAAGTACCACAACCTTCATCATTGAAAGTGAGAACCACTGAGTTCTAATCAGGAAAGCCAGCATGATAAGGCTTCTCTGCGAGAATCAACAGTACACTGTCTTCCTCTCCAGTTCTCCTATTTTGCTGTTGGCGGGAACCTCAGGTGGACCATCCACAACCAACATCATGCTGTGTGCTACAAACTGACCATTGGTTAGTCTACCACAGCCTCATTGTGGACTCCTTTCATTCTGGAACACAGATTAGATCCCACTTTTAATCAATGCAGAAAATACTGATCTGCAAAACCCTAAGGACATTAAAATGGTTACTTTTCACATTACATGTTGTAATGGTTTGAAATCCAACAGCAAACAGTTCCATCATCTAAACATTTTCACATAAATATTGATATAGGACACTAAAGATCTAGAAAAAAAAAAGCATTGTGATGGATACATAACTGTGGACATCATCAAGACAAACAGTAGTTGAAATAGCAGGTAAATTAAATAGCTTAGGCAATGTGATTGGAAAAAGGCATATAAATGATACTAGAAATGAGCATAAGATACAGTCAGTTGAGTAATTATATATAAACATTTTATTATATGTTAAAATATTTATGGATATTGTATTTGTAAGGAAGAGGCAATTTTCTTTTCTTGATTTGAAAGAACACAAATGATTGCCAAGAAAAATAATGCTTGGAGGGACTTTGATGTTTGCATGAAAATTCACCAAATACAATTGCTTAAAGTAATGCAGAGGCGTCCTTCCTAGGAATTGTGTAGAAAGCATGGTTCGTGCACAGAATTTGTGTTTCCTCTTTTATAATCTGGGATCCTCAGTGACAATGTTTTCTAGCAACAAGCTATGGTTCTCAGATACAATTCTGTTTTTATCAATGCAAAGTAATCTTAAGTGATATACGCCATTGCTGGGCTAGAAATTTAGGCCATTTGCTTGTTTGTTTGTTTGTTTGCTTTGTTTTATTTTCTTATCTTAGAAGCAAAATATGAGAGCCTGGAGCCTGCGATCAGCCAGGGGCCTGAATCACCAATGTGAAGATGGTTTGTGAACTAACCAGGAACACCCTCATTTTACAGCTTCATGAATTAAAAAAAAAAAAATGAAATTTTGTTTACAAAAACCACTGAAATGCTAATACTTATTTGTAACATCACAGTATTGTCCTCATTTGCTATTTTATTAGACGGATTCATTTGTGACATTAAAGAAACATTGAAATTTTGGAGGTGTCTAATGTGCAGAGTCCTATGTGTTCCTGATTAAATTTAACAAAACTTCTTACAGACAAGTACCAGGGGATTGGTGTGATCCAAATTCTTTTTCCAGAATTAGCACAGAAAACAATTTAATTGTTTTTGATCTCTGCTTGTCTTGCCCATTAACACAGAATATCATTATAATTCAAAGCTTGTTGCAGTAATTTGTAACTCATGCCTTTGTCATTTTTATCAATTTCTAAGTGCAGAGAGTATGTGCAAGAATGGATCAGAAATACCATTTTTGCGATGCAACATACAGTGAACGTCTAATACCGTCCCATATTCAGGGGCTTCTGTGCCACAGAAGTCAGATACATTGAATAGTAAAATAATAGCACTTTTTCTCCCTCTTCATTGAACTTATTAGTGTGTGTCTCTCACTGTGAAGAAAAAGGAGTGAAATGTAACCATTTGATGTCTCTATTGTGTGTGTGTTGGTGTGTATAAAGGAAGAAAGAAGATCTTCAAGTGTCTTAGCTATATTTTCTACAATGAGACATATTACATAACTACTGCTTGTTGAACTGTAATTATAACGGAGCCACCTTTATAAACATGAATACAAGGAAAACTAATTAAGTGCTGACAATAAGCAAATATTATTCTCTTAATGAGATCTTCTACTGGAAATCCTGCTTTGTTCCTGCTACTCCAGTGTGAATGACATTTGAATCATAACAGTGTCTCACAGAAACGGTCTTTCAGGAATGAAAAAGACAGCGCAGTGTCACAGTCAATGAATACCTTTTCAAATCTTTGCTAATCTGAAGTCAATGAAATGCTACTCCCCCTAACAGCTGCTTTTGCTGATTTGTATACCCGCATAATTAGTGGAAAGTTCAAACTGCACATTTTTAGTATTCGTATATTTTGATAGTGTTTTTGTCACATATTATCTTCACATAGCTGATTACTATGAAAAACTGAACTCTGAGTTCTGAAGAGGAATCTAGAAGGCAAAATGCAATGCGATGGTTTATCAGTGTTTGATCTCTCATCTCCAAAGCTCAGTCTTCCTATCTCTGTCTCTCTCCCTCAATATCTCCAGCTCTGTCTTTCCCTTCTCCCCAGCTCACAAATATCTGCTCAGCACATGTATTTCCAAAGAATGATATGCTGAGAATCTGTAGAACCTTTGTCAGTAGAGTGTAATACCTGAGAAAATAAATTTAAATAAAGAAGGATGTCTTTTTTTTACCACTACTCAGAGGTTAAACGGATAGTCACTTGGCTTCCTGGTTTCTTGGCCTGTGGTGAGGCACCAACCAGCACACGGTGGAGAAAAATCTGCACAGCTCATGGTGCTCAGGAATCAATCGCAGACAAGAAGGAGCCTGGGGACAGAATCCATGCTTAAAGTAATGTCCCTGGGATCTGATTACTGTATTCTAGGGCTTACCTCCCAGTTTCAACCACCTCCCTGAAGCCCATTACTCTATATCAATCAGTATATCATTACATTTGTGAGATCAGGACCCTCATAATCCAGCCACGTTCCAAAGATCCACACCTGAACACGGGTCTATTAGCAATTAGGCTTTCAAAGCAATAGCCATTGGACTGAGCCTTCAAAACATATCAGAAGGTCCTATTGTGTTTAAGGTTCTGTGATGGGAGAGAAGAGAAGGGTGCATTTTCCTGGAGAGAATTTGCTCACTAAATACCGCTAGCCATCACCTTGTGAGACACATGCTGAGACATTCTCAGGGGTGGGTGAGGACCATCTTCAAGAGCTTTGCATAACAGACGCACATCTCTTCATGAGATCAGAAGGCAGAATCATGCTATTCTTTCAGCTTAGAATGTGATTTTTTAAAAAGCAGGTGTTAAGAAACAGCTGAGCTCAGACATGCATAAAAAACAAAACATTATTTTTGTTCCTAAAGGACAAGAAACAGTGGTGATTTGATAGTCACATATCATAGATTAAATGTGTGAGTCTGTATCTGTGCCTCAGATCTCAAAAATGCAAAAATGATTTTCTGAAATGAACAAAATATTCCTAATTTTTCTTTAACACAGTAGTATTTGGTTTCATTCAACGATGATATAGCTAAGAAAGTTTAATGGTAGAAATTGAGCAAATACCTCGTAAGAGAAACACCAGCGACTCTCAGTAAAAATATAATAGACATACTTATTTAAATACCTTGAAATAACTCTTTATTATCTATAAAATTGTTATAAGATTTTGGGTAGTTTTGATGATGATCGAATGGCATCACATTGAAAATAGCAAGTAGATTTATGGTCAGCATAAAACATTTTTTTAAAGTTTTATATATTATTCTAGGACCCATAACAAGCATAAAATGGAGTAGGATGTAGTAAAGATGAGCAATTAAAATGATATTTAATAATTGATATTTTATAATTTTTACCTGAAAATACCAGATTTACACAGTTTATCCTAAAATCTACCCTCCAAGAGTATGAAATTTAATGCAATTGAGAGTAGAATTTGTCAGTATTTAGGTTATTGGATGGTAATAAATATAATAACAGTGAAATGTACCATAGGAATATAGAGATGGGAAATGTTGTATTTATCTGGGAGGAGGTTGTATTGTGGAAGTTTTTTCATGAACTTTTCATGATGTTTGTCAGGTAGTAAGGCAAGAGAGAGAAACAGAGAATATGCAAATACCAAAAATGTTCAAAAAATGATGATTGTCTTATATTCATTTATCTGAGGATACATTATGCTGTTTCCATAGCTTCTAAAATGTATTCTTCAAAAAATGCAAATCATTTACATGCTATATAGATGTATGTAATTAGAACTTTACTGGAACCCTAATTCTATTTCATTGGTTTGCACACTGTAAGGTAATTTAAAAGTAGTTTTACATTTGGTGATTTTATATCCTACCATTTCGTACTGTATTTGGGCATATATTTTACCTACCTAAGTCTGTTTACTAGTCATTAAAATGTACATAATCATAGTTATCTGAGAGATATTTTGTATGCACTATATGAGCCTACATACATAAAATAATGGAATGCATGGACATAATTTCATAAACAAATTGTAATGCCTCTGTCTCACCACACATGGAGAGGTCATTTCCTTTCAAGACTGGAATATTTTACTCTACTACTATTATTCAATTATACAATTGTTAGAGAAGTGAAAAAATGTTTACCTTGCTGTCTTCTAAGAATGCTGCCATTTTATCTTTTTCTCCTGGTTTCTATGTGAATTTGAAGAAAACATTAGCCTTTTCTTCCACTTGCTCCATCTCTTCCTGAAACGTGATTTATATTGTGAACATTCATTTCTTTTTGTAAATAGAGTCGTTATTTATCATTTTAAGTGATGAGGAAAGTAAAGCTCAGGAAAAAGTCTGACTGCATAGTCATAAGCAGAAAATAGATATCAGAAGTCAAAAACTACGTGGAGATATTATTTGTTCTCCTATGGTGACCGGTTTTTATACCACCATTTCTGAGGGGCAGTAGCAATAAAGGAGCTGAGAATTACTATGTGGGCTCTTTAGTAGTGGAAGGAATGACGGTATTTCCGGAGAAGAATATAGAACATTGAAATTCTCATGCAAATTCCATACAAAAAGTTCAGGAGTCTTCAAATGTCCCATCTATATGCATTCATTCATTTGTGTGTATGTACACATATAAGTGTATGCACAGATACACATATGTAAACATGTGCTCAAATACACATGTGCATGCATATATATATATATGATTTTTTTACACTGATGAGAAAACAGAGGCTCAAATATTTACAGAAATTTCATAAACTACAGTGTTTAAGGAATAATGGAGGCCACAAAATTCAGAAGATTTCCACTGTCTAACGTTATAAGACATATTTTATAAATACACAGTTTGCCAAAAAATGTATACACACTTTAGGAAAAAAATAGCATAATGTTTTTTTCAACAGATGGTGTTATCCTCATGTGGGGGACCCTAGAGACTGTCATGCATCTCAGAAACCCACTACACTGCCGGCCCTCAGAGAAGAAATTGAAAATGTATGTGCGACAATTTCACTGACCATGGTTACCCAAGCAGCAGTTTACCATATGAATAACTGTCTGGAAGCCGATGGCCACCACTTTGAGCACCTCTCGTAATTGCAGAGACCAATGGTAGCTTGTATTAATCTCACGATGTCTCAATAAATTTAGTATCAAAGTATTTATGTTTGTGTTTTTGTGAAGTGTGTATATGTTGGCAGACTGTATATGAGTTAAATAGCATTCACTCATTCTTTTAACAAATATTTACTCGGCATTTACCCTAAGCCACTCTCCTAGAATTCATACATTAAACAATCTCATGGCCTTCCTTTTCAGGCATTCAGAATCTCCTAGAAATGACACTTGTAAATCATAAATACTTTGAAAATGTTGTAAAAACTGTATGGAACATCGATGAAGGTCTTAGAGTAAGGTAATTTTTAAACTGGATTTTGGACAACACAAGCATCCAAGCGACAAGGACATTCCAGACAGAGGGAACAGCAGCACGGTGAGGAGGAAGGACACAGAGCCAAAACTGGCCAGGAGACATAAGGCTGGGATATAAATGCTGCCTGTCTCCGCTCTCAGCGGGCCTTCCCACTGCCTCCTGCTGCTCTCATCTATTTTCTCGCTCTGCCCTTCGCTGCACTCCCAGGCCTACCATCACATTCCCATTCGCCCTCCTCCACCTCCTCACCTCATGTCCAAAGCGCACGGGTATGTGAGATAAGTGGGTGAGCAAGCTGCAAACTGGTAAGAGGAGGGGTGTCGGGGTGTCCTCCTGGAGCAGCAGAGAGGGGGAAGGACACAGCAGTGACAGGCTCTCAGGCCTAAGAAACTCCGCAATTGCCCTTTTCACCTTGAAACCTTTCCTGCTGTGCGTTCCATGGCCAACACGGAGCTTTGGCAAATGACTGAAGCTGATAGCGCGCTTTAAGCTGATTCCAAGAGAAAACATGTCACAGCTCGTCAAATTCCGTAAATGAGAGAACAAGAAGGCAACGTACACATGAAAATGCTGATTATTTACAAAGGAAAATGTTTGGGGGGATAAAAAAAGATCTTGAACAGTCATCCAATCAAGAATTTAATTCGTACACGTTCCTCAAGCAATCACCACCAGGTGATGCTAATTAGTCTGAATAGTTCACAGGTGTTACTCTGCAAGGAAACTAAATAAAATCAAAAAATAAATAAGTAAAATTCAGCTTTAACATGACAGCCCACATGACTCCCTAATACTCCGCGAAGAGCTCCTTCTCATTGTTTATTTTTTTTAAATTTAAAATCTAATGTGTTAGATCTGAAAGCATTTTAAACCTTGATAGTGTTCTTTCCTCTCAAAATACAGTGACCTGAGGAGTCATCCATGTATCCATACATTCATTTGTACATTGATCTGTATGTGCATTAATTTCCATAAATCAGCTATCTAGCCTATTTTGAACCAGTGGCTAGCACTACAGATGTGATAGTAGAATAAAATATCTTCATCTTGCTTTTATTGGTTTACAGTCTATTAGATGAAAAATACACCAATTAAAATGCATAATTGATTGCTGTTTTAATGTCTCCCGTGGAGGAAACATCTACGCCAGTATAAAAGGACATAAAGGCTGCTTTCCTAAGGTACTAAAAGCGGGGATGGAGTTGATTCCTGAAAAAGGAAAAGAGAAGTTGCACAAATTCCAGACAAAATAAATAGGAATGTTCAGCATCCAAGATAAACAAAACCAAAACTCAGAAAGACTGTATAATTAGAACTCGGAGTAAGCAGACCACAATAATAATCTGTACAGTGAAAAAGTATTAAAGTAATTCTTAAAGAAATGATTATTGAATTCTTTCCAATTATTTTAAAATACATGAGCAGCCTACATCGTCTGTGTCCCATAAGGTTCATGACTGGACATATAAGTTGCTAATTATTTTACACAGAAGAATCTAGGGTACTTAATAAAAGAATTCTATCAAAATTTGATGTAAACATAGTAGAGTTTGGGACTACAAAGTTAGTGCCTTTGCTTTATTATAGGATGAATTTGTATCTAGATGATAGCACACAGTGGTAATTGTTCATGGTCTTGAATTTTCATTTATTTTATTTTTGTAAAATGTGACACAGCCATTCATTATTTAAAAAAATTGCTACATATTTACCAATTTAATCAACTTAGCAAGTTAAATTTTAGGTTGCAGTGTAATATTTAAGGGAATCAAAATCACTGTGGGAGATGAAAAAAGGTTTTATCTGGAGCGACAGAACACCTGATATACCAGAAAAGTGAGCAGAAAACAGAGGAAGTTCCCGTGACTGGCGGCTTCCTGGTTGAACTGGTTCAGTGCTATCAGTGTTCACCAGGGATCATTCAGTCCCTTGCCTGGTCCATTTGCTGTGAGTTCATACGGCTGCTAGGTCTGAAGTTACAGCTGGTTTTTTAAAGACATTCCTGTAAATCAGAGTAAAAGAATATACTATCAGCATTCAAGGTGGCCTAGTAAATAATGGTTTTCCTCAATGGAAGTGTCATTGTTTGTATCAGTCACCAGGTTTTGTATTATGTTCAAATGAAAGATGCATGACTCCTCTGATCTACACAGTGTGTGCAGGAGTCACGACTTAAATGTGAGAGTATTGTGGTTTGTAGACATGGCATTATGTAATGCTCAATTGTGTGTCCATTCCCATTTTGACTATAACTTATTATTTACTAGGCGATCATTTCAATGACGGTAATGTTCCCAACCTCTAATGTTTTGTAAACTACTTTTCTATAATTTTGTATCTTGATGATAACTGAAGATCAGAATCTTCCTTGGGCAACAATATTCTATCAGAATATAATCACTTGGTTTTCCTTTTTTTAGTTCTTATGATATAACTATTTCTAGGCAATGATACTAATTTTGGATGAATGGCAGTAATATTGCATTAGAGTAAATGTTCAGTTCAAATATCTTAGAGATAACTTAAATTATCTATAGTCAGTAGAGGAAAAATAAAACAGCTATGCAGATGAAAAATACTGAAAAATTTGATTTTAATAGAAAAATACAACATTTGGTATTTGACAATGAATTCTACCATTTACTGATTATAAATGGTCATATCACATCATTTAACCATGCTGTGCCTCAGTTTCTTCTTCTGTGTTATGGGAATTACAATTGTTTTGACTTCTTAAAGTCAGTTTGAATGTTAAATAAGTCTAACATATAACTGACTCAAGTGAAGGTAATTATAGTTGAAAAATAGGTAACCAAGGAGCTGGAGAACTAAGGCAGACTACATAGCAGATGATGAAAAGCAGCAATGAATTCTTTGGGCTCACCCAAGGAACACAATACAAAAGAGGAAAATATTTTGGAAAAAAGCAACAATCAGCACCAAATGCAGCACAATTAAACTGAACTGTCCCTAGTGTTTACAAGAAAATCCTCACGCACAATTACCCAGACAAATCTATTCACTTAGAAACCAGAGGGCTTTCAACCAAAGCACACATCTCTTTAGAGCCTCTTAAACTATTTTTACTGTGATCTAAATTTTATACACCCAGCATCATCAGTAATACGCACCAGCAAGACTGCCTTCTCAAGTTCAGATTGTCCCTATAATCTACCAAGTGTGCCATTCAATTCAGCTCTGCTTGACTCATTCCAGTAATCACTTGGGTTGCCCTTGTATATCACAAGCTGTAGGATGTATGAAAGAGGACTGAAGAGGACTGTCATAGCCCAGGACTTCGCAGATGTTCATATTTCCTACCAACATTTATTTTGGCTAAATTTTAAGCATTCTGTGGTCAAAAGAATCTTGCTTAATATTCAAGGCCATCTAATACTCTATTTGTTCATTGGATGGATTAGTGAATCATTATGTATTTAAAATAAACACTAGGTAAATACTCTGTACCAGACAGATTGAGAAGCAATGTGTTGAAATTATTAAGACATGGGATTCTGCAAAGAAGCCTGATTTTTCCTTTTAGAATTACAAACAGTACCATGGGAGCAAAGGTGGGAAGAAGGGAAACCTCACTTTTTCCAGCACACCCCATTATCAGATAGTTTGTGCATGTGCTTAATTATCTGACTTCCCTTTTAAGTAAGGTGGTCTTTTTGCAAGGATCTGACTTAAGTTTGAACCTTCAGATTTGAATAAAATGCACAACTAAGCCTGGCGTGGTTTCAGATGCTTACTATTCCAGCATACTGGGAGGCTGAGGCAAGAGGATCTCAAATGCTAGTCCTCCTAGGAAACTTATCAAGACTCAAGATTTAAATGATAAAGACCCTTAGATTCAAAAAGACACACACACACACACACACACACACACACACACACACACACCCAGTAAATTATATCTAAGAAACATACTCACACCGGTCTTTACTGAAAAGAGCCCGAAGTATGTAATAAGACCACAACAACTGTAAAAAGGTGTTTCTTCTCCTTCGGTCAAACCCTAAAATTGTGTGACCCCTCTAAATTGCAGCTAGATACTTTTAGGATGATCCAAGTGAGTCATGTATAAACTGGTGCTAAATTAACCAGGCCATCATTCTAGTCTCTAGATATACAGAGAGGGGCCTACTTCCCTTTGGCTTTGGTGTAGCATTATAATTCATGCCAGCTATAACTTACAGTCTCTGCCAGTGCTGTCGAAGGTTCTCTACTCTCAGTAGCTGTAATTATAATCTCCTGTCCAGGCTCATGTGGCACCCTCCTATGGAATTCTTTACTGTGTGACCATAAATTTGCTTCTTCTCCTGTTTAAAAATCATCAAAAAAGAATATCTTCTGGTATAAGCAGGTTGAGCTGTGAATATACTTCACTGAATATTTTTTAATTTGCAGATGCTTTGTGTGTTTCATTTTCAGACATTCTCACTGTGTAGGCTGGCCTCCTTAAACATGCACTCCATCTAACATGTCAACAAACTTAATTATCCCAGAAAATGCTTAAACCATTTTTTATAGCTCAAGTTTTTTGAAAAAGCTAAAGACGCCAATGAGATTAGAAGAAGATTCCCTCCCCTTATTGACCCACAGAGATGAGGCTACCTATGTGTAGGGTACTTAAATTCCTTTACCATAAACTCTCACACAGGAGATGACTCACTATTAGCCACTCTATTATGCTAAGAAAATTCTGAAATTGGTGTTAAACACAACATAAATTACAAATGTGAGGTCTTGGCATATTTACCACCACTGTGTTTCTATTCTTACTGTATGTACTATCATAGCCATCTCATCAAGTGACTTCTGAGTGAAAGAATTACAAAAACTCACTCTAAAATAAACAACTCCTGTTAACTATAATAAGCAGATATTGTTATCAGATTAAGAGAAAAATAGACAAATACTCATTTTTCCTTTTAAGAATTTAAGAAGAAATATTTGAATTTTTCATTAGACTTCCACATTCAATTAATAAAATATTTGCAATAATAATTAGATATACAACTCATGATCTTTCCTTTGCACGTTGTGAGAATGCAACTGCATCCATCTACCATTCTGTGGAGCATGCATCAATCTTTATGCTTAAGCAGGGACAGAATGATAGCATTTTTAACTTCCTGAGAGTTTGAGATAATGAAAGAGTTTGGCATAAGAGTATTTAATATACATGTACTGGTTTGTAACTTACATATTGTAAGAAGCTGCTATCTTTGTTGCTAAATGTCAGAAAGATTTGAATGTCCCCATCTGTTAGTAAGTTTTGAAACATGGATATTGTAACAATCATTGATTCTCCACAGTTGAGAATACAAGGTTGTGTTTTAATGAAGTCTTAAAACTGGATCCCATTGGCTTCAAATGGTGATAAATTTTCCATGAAAGCAAAAGTTTTCTATCCCAAAATTCTCCAGTAATGCTTTCTCTCCTCTGTTGCCACTAATTAATTCAAAGTTCTTCCTATTTATGGCTTGGATTCAGTAAAAGTTGATACATGTGTCCAGTTAGAGAAATTTAGAAGTTTAATTAATTTATACAGCATGAG